CCCTCTGCTTTGGTGAGCAGGCCTATTGAAAATGCCTCTCTAGCCTGCAGGAGGAAAGACTGCCTTTGAGTGGCAGGGCACTCCACTGAGAAACTGTACGATAACAAGCAGGTCCCTTGAGTGGCCTGAAAAATTAAGCAGAGAGAAGCAGAAGACTAATTAAAGTGAAGTGTTTGGCTCGAAGTACCAAACAGATCATTGCAGCATTACCCATAATCCCCTCTGTTTCAGCCCTGTTTCAAAAGTGCTGATTCTCTGTATGTTACTTTAGATGAAAATAAGGGGGGTGGGGGGGGGGGGGGGGTCATAAAGTGGCCGAAATCTGATCAGCTCATTTTCAGACAGGTTTATATATAAATTGATCAGGACAAAAAGTGAGCGAATCTTTTGTCCTGAAACGTTCAGAATCTCTTTACACAGAGGGGATGAATGTTTATGTATAAAAGACATGAACAAGTGGATTTTGCATAATAGGTGACTTTTAAAGCAGCAACATGAAAGATTTATACTGCTTCAGAAATGTGAGATACAAAAAAAACGTTATTTTGATTGCAACAATTCACAACTCACCACATTGGTCAACACGTAGAGTGAAGTGTACTGACTGTAAACCACCGCCATCTTAGCTGCCTGAGCTGCTGATAGAAGACGATGACTCCTGTCCCCAAGTAAAGACTGCTCCAAACAATCAGACAAACACAGTTATACAGAGCCAACAATATAAAAAAACATAATATGAGTTAGACTTACTAAATCAATATCTGGGCTAGTCCTAAAAGCATTGAAGTCCTGCTCATTCATAGACACCAATATGTTGGCCAGTGTACAGAGAGAGGCTCCAATGCCCTGCAGAGACATGCAGAGCAAAGGTTTATAACAACGTGGATATTATGCATGTTTACAAGTTCCAAATATGGCAACTATGATGGCAATAATGTGGCTGGGTCACCTTTTTATCAGGTTGAGGAAGTGCATAGTAGCCAACCAGAGAGGCCCAGATTAGCTCTGCTGCCTCGAGCCACAGGCCTGAAACGGAGCACAAATGGTTTGGATTATTGAAAGCTAATGTACTAACATGTTTTTATCCTCAGTAAAGCAAAGCCATGAGGTTCTTTGACCAATAAAAACACACTATTTTTCACGTTTGTTTAATTCATGGCTTTAATCCTAAAGAGATTTCAGAATTTATTTTCTAATAAATGTAAGACTGTAATCTCAGAAATGTTGATTTTGTTCTTGTAAAATGATCCCCCGGCTCTAAGGATTATATATTTTACTGATGATTGCCATAATATGCTATATAATATAAGACAGGCTTGGAAACATCATACTATATCAATATAAGACATGACACAGAACCTCTCTATTGATGACATATATCTTGGTACACATACAGTAGTAATATGTAGATGCAAGTATGTTCAAAAAGGGTTCCTACACCTTTTTAAACATCAAATCCAAGGACCTTTAAAGGATTTTGAAGGCCCGATTCCCCGAATTCAAGGACATAACACTGCATATTTTGAGACACGGAACAAGGTTATAGGACTATTCATTTTTCAACAGCTTGCAGGCTAGACAGAAGCTCATATTCAACATCAATCACTAGTGCAGGCACACAACCTAACACTTTTTCTAAGCAGGTGTTGCATGGATGAAAATGGATGCAGCAGAACCTAGCCTAATAAATATGTTAAGCAAAATGAAAAAATCAAATTTCTATTAATAAATATATTAATTAAATCCCATTTTATTGACCCAGGTAGTTTTACAAAACTTGTAAGGCCTTGCTTTTATCACCTCAATTCAATTTAAAAAAAAAGATTTTAGAGACCTAAAGGATTCATGACATCAGTATAAAAGGGGAGGGGGTGAACTTGAGTCCTTCCTTCAGGAAAAATACCTTACCTAGCGTTCGCAAAATCATTCCCCGCACTTGAACACTCACAGCCTGCACAAGAGCCCTGTCACTTTCAGAGTGGTACACCCAACAACCTGTACAAAGTATTATTTGTTTGCATGTAAAAACAACATAATGCATAACTTAAGGCAATTCAAATAACAAAGCACCTACAGTACCTGTGGACCCACTGTTGTTAATCAGACTGCTCAGTATGTATTCTGCCTTCTGTAGTTTGCCTGTATAGGAAGATGATTGTAACGTTTTCCTGATCTGTATAACACATCCAAACGCCTTTTCACATTTACATGACTTTATATCAACAGCTATTATTCATACCAGAGTTTAAGTAGACCCTAGCCTGTCGTATGACCAGCTGGGGGGCCACTGGGGTGTCCGGGTGGTGTTTGTGGAGCAGCTTGGTGATCTTCAGCAGCCGACTCGACTCATCTGTCCAGTAGAGGAAGCGGTCGACTAAGAAGACCACCGATAGTGCCGTGCCTGCCTCCTGAGCCACGATGGAGGCCTTTAGAACAGCCTGGCAACACAGAAAACATATCAAGAGAAAATGCTTCCAGCAACACCACATACAAACATTATTCCCTGTGTTATTATTACCAGTAGCTGCGTCAGGTGAGTGCTGATGAGGTCACTGAGGTTGGTCTTGTCATCGGCACTAACTGACTGCTTGTATTGCCACTTTTCCGGCACAAATGGCCACTTCATTTCCATTGAATCCTGCAGGAGAGAGGCCAGCTCTGCACACAGCAAGTCTACAGGAAAGAAGTGGGATTTCAAATATCCAGATAAGATAAGATAAGAGGTACTTTATTGATCCCAATTTGGGAAATGTTTGAGTTGCAGGAAGCATAACAAACAACAAAACAAAACAATTGCACATGAGTAGAAATAAACAATACTATAATTTAAACATCTCAAAATACAATTAAAGCAGCATTACAAAGTAGAAAATATGAGTGTAAAAAGGATGTTCCAGTGCGCAGATTACCTTGCCTTAAATATTTGAACTCCAGGTATAAATAAAATAGAGAATGCACACATTTCTGTTCTTCCTTTGGTAGAATTTTGTTAGAGAAGGAGGTTTCTTTTTAGCATTGTACTGCCACAGCTCGAGCTACTGAAAAGCATTAGCTAAACAAAAGGACATTCCCTCACATTCGTGCCAACTCCATGTGGGATTAACGGAGCATTTGTAAAGAATGCCCTCATTGTCAACACAAACCATATGTTGTGTGCATGTAAATGTAAATCCACCACCAAATCTCCTCACCCAAATCCCAATCTGACATCCTTCCAAACCCAAAAGAAATTGAACAAACAGCACCATCTTGTGTCTGACCTCTGCAGAGACAGAAGTCCAGCCTCTCAGCCTCAGTGGAGTGGGTGGACAGTCGAGCTGCTCTGAGGCAATCCTCCAGTAAATCCCCCACCTCCAGGCTGTCCATTCTGGCACACAGATGCCTGGAAGGAAATGGTTTCCTCCTTTCTTTGCCTCCTCAACTTGGTTCCTGTATTTGATTAAAAAAGGGTGATCCTCTGGAATAACCCGGGTGCTGTTGAGAAAGAATTGCACCATCAGTTCTGTTTGTACTTTTAAAATCATGAATTATTCAACATGATGGATAACATGAATCCATCATAACATAAATAAATAATTATACATCACATAAAAAAAGCCAATTCCTGTTCCAGTCTACATGTCTGTCCCCAATTTAAATCCATATGATGTCTTATCATGTATGGTGATGTGCTTGAAACAATATGAAACCATAGTTTATGACAATGTCAGAGTTAAAATGTGTTTACAATGAATGACATACTTTCAGGATATTAATAGAGTTATGATCATATACAGCAATTTGTAAAAGTTATATTACGTGTGTGAATCTTATACAGTCTATGGTGTGAATATAATAGGCGCACTTTGAAAGTTTGAAACTAAAGGGACCATAAATGCAACACACTGTATGATGTTAAAAATGTTATACACATAATGTAGTATTTTCACTTAAAAAACTAAATCGCAAACATAACAGAAGTGCCAACTTTTCGTCACTTTTAATATAATTATTACCCTCGAGTTACACTTTAAAATGAACCTTATGCTATGATACATTTTTACAAGCAATAAGTAAACAGTAAACTACCGACCTAACGTCTGTGTTGTGTTGTCCTCTTCTTCCTGGTAGGGCAGTACCATAAGGTGCTGCCTTCAATGCTATGGGAAATATAGCAATTCAAATTTGCAATAGTCCTTGCACTATTTTACAAAAATCAGTATTCCAATTGTTGTCAATTAAACAATTGTATGGTTTGCCATTTTAAAATGACACACTTGATTATATGTTTCGGATCGTCACCAATTTAATCCTGCATGATTTGAACGCAACATGTGCCGTTAAGAAGGAATACAATCCCTCCTGAAGCAACAGGTAAATCCGTAAACTAGATTTGTCTCGGAAGATATTGTCTTTATGGCTGAGAGTTATTACAACATGTATGGGAATAAGTCATTTATAACAAATAACATTTGTATAACGTTTTTTTAAAGGTAGCCTATTTCTTTATCCCTTTGTTGCCTTTATATACTTGTACCTATGTATTTATCTCGTTTGAACCACTACTGATCATTCTAATTACTATATTGTTAATTGACTTGAAAAAGCAGTAGCCTATTGTAGGCCTATGTAAAAATAAACATTATGGACCTAACACCAAAACAGACAGTTTATGTTTTCTGTGTCATGCAGTGCAATAAACACATTCATAACTATTGCACTATTGCACTATTGCACTATTGCAGCTGCGGTGGTGGCACCGCAGCTGCCTGTCTGTGGTTTACTGAAATACAATCCAGCCAAATGCATGTGAACACTCGATAATTAGTTTTAAATGTGGGCCTTTGTTTGTGAAGACAGCACATCTGGATGTGGAGGCATGTCTACGATGGAAAAGACGCATTGGTATCGCCAACAGAATGATGGATCATTATGGTGTGTAATGATGCAGCTCGTACACAACAAGCATGTGCAGACTGTGGTGTTGCTGTGCTACTACCAATAGGCGGGACTGTGGCTCTGCAGTGAGTGTGATCGCGACACAGCTGGATGCACGAGCAGAAGGCTGGCACGCGGTCCAGCTGCGACCAGATGACTGAGCTCAGCTGCTTTCTGAAGCACCAACACGCACCACATCCATAACTTGTTTCCGAGCGCGCCGGGAGATGACTTGTGAGCACTGGAGGGTTAATGTATCGTAACAATACCCGCAGAGCCCATTCAGAAAACTCCGGAGAGGGATCCGCTTGCATCTCTCTTCTGATGACTTCTTTTTTTGTTTCGATCCTCGGCGCGTCTCTCCTCAGGACTTGGTGTTCCCAATCCGCAGCCAAACAGGCGTTTTGAGTTCGGTTTGGTGCTGGTGATGTAACGCTTCTCATCTCACAACCTATCACTGCCGCCTTCCTCTCACAGAGCATGGGACGCTTCAAACTCTAAAAGGTAAGACATGTGGCTTAACGTGCATAGTGACATTTCTACGCATGGCGGGTTTCAGATGTCACATTATTACTTTACTAAAGAAACCTGCCACAATGAAAGTATTTTTTTTCAAGTCCTTGATCACTTGGCTACATCCGTTTGAATCTGTTATGTTGTTTTGCAACAGTAGAAGAGATTGTGTGAGGTGTTGTCTTCTTGCACCATCAGCCACAGCAATGTCAGGATTTCATGTTGACTCATTAGGGAGTCATGGATGAGTTTTATACTTTGCTACACGTCTGAGCACGAGAGCTTTGAGTACTTTGTTTCAGACATCCCACAGCAGTCAATTAAATCTTGTAGTTGAACTGATTGAAATAACAGGTCAGGAGGAACAGAGTAAAGGAGGATGGAGGAACGCCTATTTCTAAAATTAGACAGAGGGAGAGGCAGGGTCTTCATCCTGCTGTGACTGCGAGAATGATGGTAAACAAAAGTCTGTTTTGAATGCAAAGTTATTGCATTTGCGCGGATGGGAGGATAACTTGTTGAGTTATCCATCAAATGGCAAACTTTCAAGACCCCCGGCAGCTAATAACCATTAACACCTGTGTGCTAATGAGATATCACCCTGAGTGAAGAATAACTTTGTAAGCCACATCCCATCTTGTGAGCCAGCCTAATTTAAACAAGTGAAAGGTCAGACTCCATCCAGCCTCCTGCTCCTGTCTGACAGCAGAGACTCAAGGGGATTTTCTCCACCGCCCTCGAAGCAGCAGGGATTAGGAGGCATCTTTGACTGCCCGAGCGGCTGATTACTTGCTCTGCCATGTCTTCACTTATCCTTCACCCTTGCCTTAGCCTCCACTCATGTTTTGATTTCTGAGCACAGGGATTTGACTTGTAAGCTGAGACATCTGGGAGTCCTGTAGTTTTGTCACATCCTTATAGGAGGCACAAAATGTGACTGATCTGGCTGCCGCTGCATGTTGTTGATTAACCGCTCCTATTTTGAATGTTGGACAACCTTGCTTTGTGAGATCAGCATCTGATTCACAGAATGCAAATGAGGCCGCTACCAATGTGAGCCATCATATATGACAGACTGATCTTTCTCCACAGCACAAATCAATGAAACAATTTGTACAAAGTCCATTTCATCAGACTGGGGCTTATTTGATCAGCGTTTGCCTCAAAATAACCCGTGGCCTATGATGTCACGCAGTGAAGTGGTATTTCAATTGTAAAGATTTGGCACTTTCGAATGTATTAAAAGCGCCTTCAGCGATAAAATCAAATAAGAGATAAAAAAAAAAGAGCCCCATCATCTCCATTTCTCCTTTCTCTCCTCTTCTGCCGCAGTGCTATTACTTCAGGCCTCTGGAGCGGCCACCCTTGATATTTAGCTTTACTTCCAGCCATCGCAACCTGCAGCAGTGTAAAATCATAAAAGCCCAACATAATTGGATACATTGTGCATGGCTGCTGCTTTATGCCAAACGACCAGCAGCAACACATCTGGGAGGAAGGAACAAAATGCAAGCAGACCAGGGGGATGAGGAAGAAGGAAACAAAACACAATCAACACAGGAGAGAAATAAGAAAGAAAGCAGACAGGAGCAGCGGATAGCCAGACACCTGTGCACTCTGCATCTGTCCACTGCCTTCCTTACCTCCCTTTTCATAAGCTCATCCTATCTATTCCATCACAGTCCATGTGCTGCATCCTGATGACCTGTATCAACCTTTTTCTCAAATGTACCTGCATGCAAACCACACACATTGTAATTAAGCTAAAACATGTTTCACATCGAGGGCAAGTTGGCACCGAAAAATGTGCACGTTCTTCTTCAAAGTAGTCGTTGGAAGTGTTTTTTTATACTAATTTTAAACACCAGAAAAGATCATTTAAAGAAACGAGCTGGAATTCAATTGAGTTGGACTCCCACTCATCACTTTATTTGGCAGGACAGCAGAGATTGTAAAACTAAACAATCTAATTGTGAGTGGATGTGACATATCTTAATGCCAACAGGGTCACTTTTGAAGTCCCCCCCCATGGTTCAGTCCATGAAAATAGTCATCTCTACTCTGTGTCTGTCCCTATGGGATCTTTTTGTTCCTCCGTCACCTCTTCAGCTCCCATGAAAGGGCACAGACCCTGTAAAATGTCAGCATGTCATTGCACTCTGCTCCCCTCACCTTTAAAGGCATGGTTAGAATGCAAAAGTCTGCAGCAGAAGAGCAGGAGACACGGGAGGGGAAGGTAGCTGTTGAGGGAAAGTGTTGGAGCTGAAGAGCTATAAATCACGCTGTGGCTGGAATTAAATCAGTCAGACGGGAGCACAGTAGTTCATGGACTGGTGGAGGGTGGATCGAAGCTCACAGGCTGCTGTATTTAAGATAGTGTGGGACTAACTAAAGGTAGTGAATTAGCAGTGATGGATAATGTTTTCGTGTAGTTGGTGGAAGTAGTACTCTTATCTTATACTAAGTTAAATTAAACTCTGTAGGAATACTCTGTTACAAATAAAAGTCCTGCATTGCAAGTGTTACTCAAGTAAAAGTACAAAGGTATTAGTATCGAAATATACTTAAAGTACTGAAAGTAAAAGTACTCACTATGCAGATTGGTACATTTTCAAATAATATATATCATATGTTTTGATTGTAGTTATTTATGTTTGAATGGGTTTATCACAGCTGATAAAGGTGCAGCTAGTTGTAATGACTTTGTATACTGCAGGTAGCTTGTGAATTTACTCCAGGTGGAACTAAAGTCTGATTCAAGTGCTGATTATATTTCATATCAAGTAACTAAAGGTATAAAATACATGTATTGGAGTAAAAGTACACTATTTACCTTTGAATGTTATTTGTGGTATAAAAACAAAGTAGCAAACAAGTCAAATACTCAAGTAAAATATACGTATCTCTTAATTTTACTTAAGTACAGTTTTGGAGTAAATGTACTTAGTAACTTTACACCACTGCTTGTTTCATTCTGTGCTGCATGTGTCAGGTGTGCCTCACTTCCAGAAACAGAAATATTTGTATGATACCTGTGGAATACCTGCTTTTCAAAAAACACATTAATTTCCTTACTTTTGTTTTCGCACAGTTTGCAGTCTGTGATCTCTCACGCTCTTTATTTGAATGTGCAGAACGAATGGTTCATTTCGACGGCAGGAAATTGTGGGGTGTGTGGTTTGCTCAGGGATGCAGGCTGTTTTAGGAAGAATACATCAACAGGAACTAGCCAGGGCTAACGCTGTTTAAAAAAAGCCTGCAGGGGTAATGAGGAGGCTGGCTGGGTGAGACTCCTGGTACACCAAAACAGAATGACTGTTGCATGAAACCACTGTATAGCCTAGTGAGCACAACTCTGACAGGCAGGAGGAAATGAAGCAGATAAACACGGCAAATAACAAATTAGTCTCCAGGTGCATGTGCTGTATATCGTGGGATTGGATTCACTTGCATCACTTGGTGTACCCATCTAGATACAAAGCATTACTAAAAAGACATTTATATAAATACTTCAAGATAACCTGCTGGGTGTAGCTTCATATTCTCTGTACATAAACCGGTGTGATAACCATCCTATTATCTCTGCAAGAATGCAAATAACTCATGCTTTATCCCTCCCAAAAATCAGGCAAATGCATTTTCTTGTAAGCACAATTATTGATTTCTTAACTGTCATTACCTAGAATTTGTTGGCCTGAGAAAAAACCCACAAAACAGGATGTTAAACTGATGTTCCTCACATCAGCGTTGCAGAAAACTGAAATGATTAGACGGTTGGCAGCCTGGATGTACAGAACGAGTAGTTATATTGCGCCTTTACACAATGCTCGATGTGTCCTCAGCCTTCACTCATCACACAGCCAGAGAATGAAAAAGGAAGTTATGTGTGTCAGACAGATAACTGACGGCAAGGAAATCCTCTAATGCAAAGAAGAAAAAAACCTTTGTCCAAGGGAAATGTTACGCTTAGAATAATACCCACTGCAAATAGTTTCAGTAACACGTTTAAAACACACATTTTACACACACATACACCAACACACCCTTCCGGTGTTTGTTATGAAGCAAACTTTCACATCTGGTAAAGGGACAAAAGTTTGAGCAGGAAGTCTCAACACAAAGCAGTGAAAACAATGTGACACAATGATACATTGTTGAGTTTGGGAGGTAGCAGAAGGCAGATATTACAACACCACATGGGGTCCGCAGAAGTGCCCCTCTGCCCACACATTACACTTTTCATTTGAAGGGATTTGAGATATGAGAGTGGGCCAGATGTGGAACAGGATGCCTGGCTTTTTCTTCGAGGACGTAATAAAACATTACACCCGAGCAGCTGTTATGTCCCAGAAACACATTGTGGAATGTGCATATTTTTCTTCTTACTCTTTCAAGATTAGAAAAAGAGTGCAGCTTGAGTCCTTACATTACATTACATTGCATTTAGCTGACGCTTTTATCCAAAGCGACTTACAATAAGTACATTCGACCAGGAAGACACAACCTTGAAGAAAACAGAATCATATAAGTACATCAGGTTTCATAGAGCCAAACATTTCAAGTGCTACTCAACTGGCTTTAGATAAGCCAGTCCTTTATTAGTATATAAGTGCTTTGTTAATAATTCTATCGCTCGAAGTGGAGTCGAAAGAGATGAGTTTTCAGTTTGCGCCGGAAGATGTGCAAGCTATCTGCTGTCCTTCACATTGAATGCATTTTCCAACCCCTCCCTATTTAAACTTTTCCCTCTTCAGCCAACAATCTCTTTCCATTTGACTGGGCTATAGCCAGGTTGAGCAAGCTCTCTTCCTGCCTCCCAGTTTATCTCCCATTCTCCCCCTCTGCCTCTCCGTCCCTAAGGAGCAACTGTAGCTGCTAATCTCAGTTTGCAGCCGGTGTGCCCCCCCCCCCACAGATGTGGCATTCTGCGTGTCCAGGGAAAAGGAAGCGTTTCCCTTCCTGCTCTCAGTACCCTGCAGTCTGTAAATAGA